TCGTGTCAATATCGATCGCCGTTGGTATAAAATTTCTTTTTTAGTTGTAAAAAAAAATATGCATATGGAATTTATCGGACTGAGTTCACTTTTATTCTAATAATTTTGTCCTGAGCAAAATGAATCTGTTTAACTTTTTTTTTTTCATCACCTCTCTCTCTCTCTCTCTCTCTCCTCTCTCTCTCTCTCTCTCTCTCTCTCTCTCTCTCTCTCTCTCTCTCTTCTCTCTCTCTCTCTCTCTCTCTCATTATCATTACTATTTCTACTACAACTATTATTTTCTTCCTACTTCCCAGGAGTGTTATTCGTATTGTCAACATCACTTTTCCATATCATTATCACATTAAAATAATTCAGCCCTTTTCTGTTCACATCACTTCTCTTCTCTAGGAACAATTGTAAAAAAAAAATTTTATTTGGAGCAGAGCATGGTTTCGATCCACGGTCCTCCGGGTTATGAGCCCGGCGCGCTTCCACTGCGCTACCCTGCTTGTTAATAAATATATTATTTGTAATCAATTAATATCATTATATTTGTTATTATTGCTAAACCTGTCAACTTAATCATCACTTATGCTATCATGTATAAAACAACAGGAATAATAATAAGATGGACACACGTATTGTAAATAAACAATTAAATGATTTCTAAAATACCGAAAGAATGACAACAAAGATGACGCCGATGAGGAAACAGCTGAGAGATTCTGTGAATTATATTTGCGTTGTGTTGCAAAGTCTTGATATAGGAAGATACAAGTAGGTAGTGTCATCAAAGACATTATTGCTGCTAGAACTTATTTTGGTATTATCATTACTATCTATGTTATTAATAGCAGTTTTTTTTTTTTTTTTTTTAATAATGGCTTCCAAACTCTTTAATACTTGCGGACCCTTTCTCAGACTTATCATCTATTATGATTATTTCCTTTTAAAATTATGAAAGAGAGAGAGAGAGAAAAAAATCAGTAAATAGTACGAATCTCATTTACATTATTTCTTAAATCTGTGGCTTCACTGATATTGTTTTAGTACAATAGTTTTTAAACCCGCGGCCCCTTCGTCCTCAAACCTTCGATACATATGCGCCATTAATCCTTTTTTCTTTATCTATATTTCATAAAGGTACGAGAATTTCCTTTCCAGGTATGACTTCATTGATATTCGTACTACGAAAAAATGGCGCCACGAAAATTAATTTTTCCCCTCTCTGTATGTCTCTCTTTCCCTTCTTCTATCTGTCTATGAACGCACCGATTTATCTTTCTATATATCAGTTTATGAATTATCTGAGTATTATCTAATTCTTAGTGTCTACCTATCTAACCTTATATCTATCTATCTATCTATCTGTGTGTTGGTGTGCCTCTCTGTGCCTCTACTTATGATAAATACAATTGTTAATACCTACCAGTAACAGGTATATTTGGCTGCCGCTAAGAATATTCACAGTCAATAGGCCTACTTGGTGCTAACGACCATTGTGTAACAGTGGTTAATTGGCAAGCGATACTATCATTCGTGTCAATATCGATCGCCGTTGGTATAAAATTTCTTTTTAGTTGTAAAAAAATATGTATATGGAATATATCGGACTGAGTTCACTTTTATTCTAATAATTTTGTCCTGAGCAAAATGAATCTGTTTAACTTTTTTTTTTCATCATCTCCACCTCTCTCTCTCTCTCTCTCTCTCTCTCTCTCTCTCTCTCTCTCTCTCTCTCTCTCTCTCTCTCTCTCTCTCTCTCTCTCTCTCTCTCTCTCTCTCTCATTATCATTACTATTTCTACTACAACTATTATTTTCTTCCTACTTCCCAGGAGTGTTATTCGTATTGTCAACATCACTTTTCCATATCATTATCACATTAAAATAATTCAGCCCTTTTCTGTTCACATCACTTCTCTTCTCTAGGAACAATTGTAAAAAAAAATAATTATTTGGAGCAGAGCATGGTTTCGATCCACGGTCCTCCGGGTTATGAGCCCGGCGCGCTTCCACTGCGCTACCCTGCTTGTTAATATAAATGTATTATTTGTAATCAATTAATATCATTATATTTGTTATTATTGCTAAACCTGTCAACTTAATCATCACTTATGCTATCATGTATAAAACAACAGGAATAATAATAAGATGGACACACGTATTGTAAATAAACAATTAAATGATTTCTAAAATACCGAAAGAATGACAACAAAGATGACGCCGATGAGGAAACAGCTGAGAGATTCTGTGAATTATATTTGCGTTGTGTTGCAAAGTCTTGATATAGGAAGATACAAGTAGGTAGTGTCATCAAAGACATTATTATTGCTGCTAGAACTTATTTTGGTATTATCATTACTACCTATGTTATTAATAGCAGTGTGTGTTTTTTTTTAATAATGGCTGCCAAACTCTTAATACTTGCGGACCTTTCTCAGACTTACCATTTATTATGATTATTTCCTTTTAAAATTATGAAAGAGAGAGAGAGAGAGAGAGAGAGAGAGAGAGAGAGAGAGAGAGAGAGAGAGAGAGAGAGAGAGAGAGAGAGAGAGAGAGAGAGAAATCAGTAAATAGTACGAATCTCATTTACATTATTTCTTTAATTTG